GAATTCACATTCATTCAGATGAATGAGATTAGGTAACGATATTTTTTACAATATGAAGATCGGAAAACTGATAATTAGTTTTGAAAAACTAATTAACTAACTTTCTATACATCACTTCATTTATTCTATTCTGAATTATTTTTCGATTTATTCGATCTGTCGAGAAATGGCCTCACATGGTCAATTTAAGAATCACTCAAGTTCATAACCGATACGATGAATTAACTTCATAAATATGATGAAAATTAAGTTGGAAATAATTCATTCATTCAATGATCAATAACGTAATGAAATATTTTAACATTTTAATTGTATTAGTAAATAATGATAATAATTGAAAAAAGAAGAGCAACACAATCATTCATTAATCCGTTTAAGAGGAAGAAGTCGGTAATGGTTAGGTTCAAGCTTACAAAGAAAGTAGTAACACAATCGTAATTTAGGCGGGTTTTACATTATTGACAATTCAAGAAACATAAAGAAGATAATCTAGAAAGATAGATAGATGCACAATCAACATACATCAATCAAAAATACATAAGGGATAGAGCAGATCATAGTGTCTTCACACATCACTACAGTACAAATTAATTAGGTAGGTTGTAATTGGTGTATGGAAAAAAGTCACATGAACCGATCGATATCTAGTTGAAGAAACTAAGACCGTCCAATAGGACGATTCACTCACTGACATAGAAGCATTGTGACTATGCATTTAATGATGATAATATGTTACAAGAGGAAAGGTTGAACGAAATGCAATTGTATGTAGATTAGATATCATTTGTATGCATTCAAGAGAAATTTTAAATTTTATTCAGATGTCATCAGTTTATAGAATTCTACAAAATATGAGAAAACAAACAAATAACATTATAATGAAATGTCATTATATGGCTGCGGAGATTACTGAATTGCATTAAGGCACACCCACCGAAGACAACAGATGAAATCGCTTACTATCGTGGATCGATTGAAGTAAGACACTAACCCTATTGAATACCGGTTTAGTGGTCAAGAGCTTAGGCATTCGCGTGCAAGACCCAAAGATCCTCGGTTCGATTATCGCTTGAACAGCTGAGGAGTCCCATACTAGGACGAAACAGCCGGCGAGTGATTCCAGGTTTCGAATGGTGATCTATCATTGATCGATTCATGATTTCGATAGAATAAACAGTAAAACTTGAGAATATATGCTCAGAATGAACATATCCCAACAAAAACTTATCGAAATTCAGTCCTATGTATCAACACTGGTTCACTTGAACCACTTTTCGTTACGACTCTGCACACTTCAAACCGATTAGTGGGCATTTTTAAATCAGTAGCCTAGTGGATAACCTATGAGGGTTTGAAGCGAAAATTACTGAATTCATGTAAACATCAATACTGAAATATGACATGTATATCATTCCAACGATTTCCAAATAGAACAAAACTCGCATCCTGGATTTTTCTGAAAGCTTGTAACTGAATGATACTACTGCGGCAATCCTCTTAGGGTACACTTAACGATCGCGTCTGATCAATCACTGTCCTGAATATCAACAACGGGATAATAGAAGCATGGATTGATTGGAAAACTGTAGAAAACCAGGCAGTAGTGGATGGCGGTATGGTTCTGGCATTAGGGTCAGTAACATGACCGGCAGACTTCGAACTAAGTTTATTACCTTAAGTTGGAACTAAATGTATACAGCTTTTCGTGAGCTCTGAAGGTTCTGACTTCAATCTACAAAGCGATCATAAGTGTGTACTGCAGCAAAATTTCATATTGGTTTCTAAACCTAAAACATTTATTACAGAACTTTGACTTTCAGTGATTCATCAAATTATGACTACTGTCATAATTTAAAGAAGGTTTATTGATTGTCACCAATGATCAGAGTAACATTATTCAATTGATATACGAATGTGTTTATAGGATAATCAAAATTTAATTAAAAATCACAATAACAAGTATCACTGATAGGTCAAAAACATTTTATTTTTAAGCTTCACTGAAACCACTTTCTAGTGTGTTTTGTTAGAGCCTCATTCTATATGTTGGCCAAGTTACTAATGAAATCACTGTGTATAAGGCATTTTGACAGCCTATCATTGTGTTCACAAAATTAAAATGACTAAATACTTTAAGACTAACATGATCCGATGAACAAGTCAGTAGGAACAATTTCATTGACAAAAAATTTAAGCATGCTGACAACTACACTGGAGCCCCTCTAGGGCTATTGCAGGCTCCAAGCCCGGACTAAGGCGGAAGCTTGGGTGTGGCGTTAGCGACCCCATCCCGTAAAAAACTAGCTCGCTAAAAAAACGCTAACCAGAAAAGATAATTCAAGATATTGACAAACTATTCCATAGTTGTGAAGAAGTTTATCAGTCTAAACTCACCGTCAAAATCGACGAATCCTGATCCATCAGTATCGGTATCTCGAATCATATCATCTATTTCTTCTTCGGTAAGATCATCACCGAGACCTTTCAATATCCACCTGTGAGTAAAGTGAAATCAAAAATTTATGCAATACATTTATCTTATTACTTTACACTACTTATGAGTAGCTTATAGAGTATGTAAACTAGACACCCACGATTACACCCGAATCTCAGCTGTTGGATGTTTATTATACCACCTACTTAATCCTTTTATAAATTTGAACCAAGCTATTATTTTTCACTCAGTCACCTCATAAAGGTTAGTACATATACAACAGAATAAAGTTTCGTTTTCATTCAAACTGTTCAATAAACTTTGGAGTCCAGTATATTAGACGGAGTCACTTTTATTTTGTAATGTGGTAAGGCTGACTACACAACTCAGCTATTAAAATATAAATGTGTAGAAGATAGTTTCTGGATTAGTCAGCTGTCTTTATTCAAACCACATACCCGACCAAATAATTATTTATAGTCAGGAGTACACTTTAAACAATCTAAGTAAATAAGGGTTATCCAAATTTAAAACAAGGAGTTAAATTATCAAGAATTTGAATTTACCTTAAATCTTCGACATCAATTTCACCACGTTTATTTTTATCCAGCACTCGGAATGCATCTCTTAAATCTCTTTCATCTTGATCTTCTTGAAGTTTCTTGCCATAACAAATTAGAAATCCATTGAAATCAATAAACCCGGTAGCTGGATATAAGGAGAGTGAAGGAAGTAATGAATATGAAAATTCCGTAAAATAATGACGGAAAAAGTTTAGATAGGTGTATACTGTACAGTTATTTGTAGGGAGTCAAAAGTTAAATGCATTTTGAAAATACGTAGCAAACCTCAAGAGATTGTTTCCCACTTTCTACAAAATATGAATCTGTAAAATCTAGCACACAAGATAATGTTAAAATTCGACAGTAAAACACTAACCAAATTATCATTATCGTTATCATATAGCAGTTTATTCATTCAAGGTCTTAAGTTCTTTAACCTGCAAGATTTAGTTGTGAAAGTTTTATTGTCCTTCTTTCTGAGCAACGCCATCGCCACTGTTACGTTCGTCACTAGGTACGCTTGAAGCTGTTACGATTTCACCTTAGTCGATAAACGCGAACGAGACAATTACCAGCGTCCAGGTAGGCTACCTTGAATCCCAAACTGAAAAACAGAAGTCTTGGTAAGCGTAGAAAGTATATTCTGCAACACCCAGCAACCACAATGCAATCAAGCACCTACCTCTCGTTTATTTATACATCACAGTCACAAAAATAGCACACTAAAATACACAGCAGGCAATCACAGCCATGGATTTTCCTGGTGGGAAATGAAATCTCAAGGTCAACCGATCGGCCTATGCTCGCAAACGTGAAACCCAAGATAAGGCATTTATCAAGCGAGTTCTGGGAATCTAACATTGCCAACAACCACATACTTGAAACGAAAGTGAGCTGTTTGAACCTCTCCACAACTGATCAATATCTTTTCCTGCTGATCTGATCAAATATCAGTTTAGTACATTGTTACTCGACTTCAGCATATTATTTTATTAAATCTGAAGTTTAGTTTGGTAAAATGACATGAATTTAATTTAGGTACTGGCTAGAGATGATTTGAAAGATTAGTCTAGATTATTTCTAAGGTTTAATACTTATGTAAACTTATCATCGGCTTATTAAAACGGGCTTTATAAATTTATACGAAATGTCAATTCATAAGCATAGCTCAATAAAATTATGAGTATAAGATTGAGATATTAAGACTGAATGGATTATTCACTGTGAATCAAAAGTCATTCAGTCTACTTACAAATATACATGAACTGAATACATTGATAACACTCATTAACTGAGATTCTAATACGATTACCATACTTCACGAATTTAAACATTTGATATATCATTCATACTGTAGTAACAGATTCTAAGTAAAATCCAATTGTGTTCAACAGTCATGTGTAGTCTTCAAAGTTTACGGTGGAAGACTGCCTTACCTACTTTTTTCATCTGGTAAGTTGGGATATGCTAGTGTCGTGTTCACAGAAGACATGTAGTTAAAATGAAGTCGCCAGTGGAAATTACACTCTTATTTGCAGTACTAACCTACTAAATGAACGAGAAAATGCTTGACATGTTTGATAATGCACACTTAGTAAGCATTAAGAAACAAACTGGTTATCCTCACACAAACTGAAAACAATGGCAGCATAAAATATACTGTTTATTTCTAGTTGATGAAAAATCACACTTTATAATAGTTATCATCTTAACAGTCTTAGTTACCTATTTAACACCCAATATTTCAACTGGTCAGTTGGTCAGACACATGAAATTCAAACTACATTTCAAGCGATTTATCGTAAGTGGTCATTTGTAGGTCATTATCATGATTAGCCAATCACAAAACAATATGAAAAAAAGAATGGATTACATACAGATGGATCGATAACTGGAAAACCGGCTATATCAAGGGCATGGTTTCTATGCCACGCTTTTATTGTTGACATAATGTAGGAGTGTGAAGTGCATTTTAAAGTGTAACTTGTTATGCTTATAACTGAATGTGTTAGAAAAAAAATTATTTTTTAACAATAAGGGAAATTGTAAGTTTGGACATTTCGAATTATTTTGAAATGAATAAAAGCAGATCACGAGGTACTTGATTTACTGCAAAACATTGCATTTCATTAGTGTTATTCATGGGAGATTTTAAGGAACATGCTTCTCTCCTCTTCTTATCGTCAATGTGCCAACATTTTGTACTACTGTTTCAACTGGGAGACAGTGATATATGGATGCTAATAATTCCTAAAAGTATTCTTTGTGCAAACTAAGTTTATCAAATTTTTATACAAGTTTTGATCTAGGTTGTTTTAATAGGACTTGGTATTGTATAAGTTTTAAATTCTGCTTGGAGAGATTTCAATCGATGCAGTACAGGTAACAGAACTTGTAAGTGAGTTAAAATCAAAAGTGTCTTTAACGGTTTTAAGCAAATAAGAAACGTCTTAAGATTTACTGCACGTTATTTGGGTGTTGGCACTCATGAGCTTTGTCCCATAAAATCATTCTTGTTACTCTGTTTAAAATATCAATTTTTCTATATTTGTTGGCATTGTAGTTCCTTCTTGCATTGGATAATGCACGGGAACCAGCAGATGATGAGAGTCTTTGTCATTGGCAATTATCTTATTAATGTCTAAACTTAACCGCACACTTCCTGAATATCAATCGATTAGTTCGCTTTAAACTCTTTCTAACTCAGTAACATTTACACATACTTCTTCACTCTAACAACACTTTGTTCCATAGCTACTCTGCAGTTCTTTACTTCATCTAGATGAACAATTATTTCCTTTCATTGCTGAAAAGATCTTTTTTACCAGAAAGATGATTTCTCTTGATAAACTAATGAACAGCTGTTTCCTTCTTCAGTAGCCATATCAATCAAATTACAGTTTAATACTTGAATCGAAGTTCCTCCATATCTCCATATTTAAATACAATGACTACTGCCACTTGGATGTGTATTCAGATGTAATAGTGAATAAATACTGGGATGCATTGTTTCTTGAGAAAGTGAACGTGTTGGCTACGTCACAATTGATAAGATTATTAGTAAGAGTTAATTACGTGTAAATACTTTGAAATTCTTACCATCATCATCGACCTGATCAGCCCATTCTTTCAAAGTGTCTGGTTTAACAGTTAGATTGAGTGCACGAAACGCTGGACCCAAATCAGTGGTGCTTATTTTTTCTTGTCCTCTTTTATCGAAACGTTTGAAAACGTCCTTGGCAACTAGAAAAAAGAAGATAGAAGTATTATAGAGAACGATTAGAAGATATCTGGAGCTCTAAATAACTGACAGTCGACAGCAAATGCAAGATTTTAAATACTATACTATATGGAGTTGAAACCTAAAGAATCACTATAACCATCGTCAAAAAGGTAAGCGCTCTAATAAACAAATGTCTATTCGAGATAATCTAGATACACTGGCCTAAGATAGTCAGCAATAACTCAGTCAGGCAGAGAATAAACCAACTTCCATCTGAAGGAGAAGAAAAGATGCTGTAGGTGAGCAGAACAAACAATACGGAAATCGTCGATCTGGGCCAAAGAACAAGCCCTAACTTGGAATCCTCAAGCCAAATAAAGAGGGCTAGGTATCAAAAGGAAACAACCTAGTACTATATTGACTAAGCTGTGAAATTTCTTTGTCAGTTTTCACTCGATAAGCTCAGTTCTATAATTGTTTTATATTTGGACTAAAAGACAAATGTAATGAAAAGGAGAAGCACTTTCAATTTAGATATAACAATGAAGTCACAAGTTGAAGATTTAGACGTGTTTAAAATTTGGATAAGACTAATTTACTGTAGTTCAACTGCTCGTGCAAAACAATCAGAGATTAATGGAATGGATTTGACAGTCGTTTAGATTTTCCTTCAAACTTTATTCTTATTGTCATGCAGTTTGAAAAATCTACGAGTTATTGTCATTTGAATTCTATAGAATTTCTTATTATTGTCAGCAGAAATATCCTATCATTCAAAGATATAACAATGACTGTTTTAAAAAGGTTTAGAATAAACCTTAAATAATGTGAATAGATCAAAGTATGCTTCATGCACTAACTCGTTTCTCATTGATTATTTAGAAAGATGCATGCGGAATCAAATGACCTTAAGGTGAAATAATGTTCAGTGAAAAAGGCGATGTACTTATTATTTTCCTTGAACTTTTAAAAAGGATCAGATGATTTTATGTCCCTTCTTAATGATTACTTAAAATGAATTCCTTCCATAGTAATCTTAAGTACTTTATCGTAATCATAAATTCACTTGTCAACTGATATTAATCACCTTAATCAACTTGATACAACATTGAAGATATTATTTATTCAGTTTTTGGGATTTCATAAAATGTTATTTGAGTGAATCATTGTTGAAATTTCTTGGTATAAATTATTTCTTCTACACCATAGTTTATAGTCAGTATTTGCAGAAAGTAATTCTTCACTAAGTGTAACTTAATTGCGGTGACTGAACGGTTAAGGAGTTCGAATTTCAGTGAATTAATCTCAGACTTGAACTCCTTTTCATTTATGTCAGTTCTAAGAACTTGGTAGTATTACCAGCCCTCACACTAAAAGTGTGTCTAGAAGCTAATTACATGAATTTGTACTTGGTAAATGAATTAGATGATGAAAAACTAGATCAATACTCGACCATGGAAGATTATGTAAATCAAAGTGAATATATATGTATATATATATATTTCTAAATAATGAGAAAAACAGAAATCAATCGTATTTCACCTTTGACTTGATCTTCTTGAATTGTGAAATCGTCAATTTTGAAAGCCTAAATAAAATAAAAACAACAAAAGTTCAGTAAAATATTAGAGGCAATAATGTTAAACAAATTCGTGTCTTTATCATAGAATCGCCTCGAATCACTTTTAGCAAGGATTTGAGTTAGTCTGTTGCTGATATTCAGGACTGAATTTTGATTAGTCAGTGTTGGCTTAAGTATACTCAATGTAGATCATCTAGAATAGTTGTGTAATTCAGAGCACAAGTTTCGTCTCATTCGAAACTCGTTACGTACATGTATCTGTCACATCCAAAAATTGATATTCACACTAAGAATCGAGCCCAAGATCAATCGTTTCAAAACTTCAGCGGGTTAACTTCTTAGCTCCTGAATCCAGGCAGCCACTCTGGTGTGAATATCAACATTGCGACTGTGTTATATTCAACTGGCCAGTCGCAAATAGTATAAAATGCATGTTGTGAGTTCCATTGTTAACCCCATTCAAAATTATTTTTCGATTTAGAAATTTAGGTGAGTTTCTTAGTTTCATGAAAAAGTAATCCAAAGTGTTATGAATGAATAGGTAGTATTAATGAGTGATATAGTATAGTTATAGTGAAGATTTATGTACAAGTCTTCAACCTAAAGTCATTCTAATTGTTTTCAAAGTATTAACTAGTCATTTAAGTTTTGATTGATTGTCCCAAGTTCAAATTCACGGATTTGTAGTTAAAATGTGCCAGTTCAAACTTAGTTTACCAACTTTTTTGTCTAGACCACTTATGAAGCTATCATACCACTTATCCTTAATTGTAAGATACGAGCTCATATACTTGACTATGAAGTACATTAGGAATGTGACAACTAGTGGTGCTGTGGTGCGAACTACTTATAAGTAGTATATAACGTGAGTGTCAACGTAAAGTCTGGTAGCATAATATGGGGGGAAGATCAAGAAAGGAAGAGTTAGAAAACAATGGAATTTGTATGAAACGCATGAATAGTGACAATGGATTGATGTTTGGCAACAGGAACAGTCCAGTTCCATAGGATGAACTAATCTTTTGCAAATGAACGATTTGCGATATGGTTTTCCGATTTTACGGAGTAACTCTGTAATTTTCATTAAATACAATTCGGTTGCCCCACCTGTGTTCTCATTCACTACAGTGCAATCCATTGATGGAAATAGAAGTAGTTAGGCAGTTAGGCCAAAAACCTCATCGATTGCGATCTAGGCTAATGTGTAAAATCTAACATGTATTCATAACAGAAAACACGACGCTTTTAGGTTCCGTACTCGTTAGGTCTAGTGAAAATCAACCACAGAAAATGTTCATGTAAATATTTTGAAATTGTTATAAATCACTTTTGTGAAGATACAAATTTATTAAACACAAACTGTTTCCACAAAATAAGTTGACAAAATATCAATACTATAGATACCTACTTATTAGTATAAGTAGCTATCAGACAAAAATATTTCAAAGTTCCCCAGAATAAACCATGATTTGTCCTGCTTGAAATACTTGCAACTCAGTTACGATATTCAATTAAAAATGACCTAATTTACTGATTGGTTTGAATCAAAAACTTCGTGAAGTGGACTACCACTCACTCGTCTAAAGGTGAATTCAATGTTAGATTCCATGTAAAGTTATGAATATTCAATGTTGAGGAGGTCAGTGCCTGATGTTTTTCAATGAATACCTAAAGGATATCGACGATTTGGATAAATCTCTTACAAACAATGTAATCAGTTCAACTATATGGTTAAAATGATTATTGTTACTAAAAGACATATAGTAATGAATGAACTGAATAAATTTCTCTTGGGAAAACTTTAACAGGCAATTGTATTTACTTGAAATATTTAATTATCTACTTGTTTAAATGCATTTACGAATGTGTAGAAAAATTTACTGAAGTCGCATAAATGAATGTAACAATAAACACATAGATAACACATTGTCTTAATAATATAGTTTGATAAAAGTTATTCCTAGTTTTGTCCGTCTCTTCATGGTTTTTTGACATTGGGTGACAATGGAAAAATTCTGTCAAAATGTACAAGCTACTAGTTAGTAGTAAAACACTAACTAAAACATTATTTGCATTATTGGGTCTGTCTAGCAGTAGCTTGATTTCTGTTAGTCGTATGTAACAGAATCTAGCATACAAAAATGAAAGGTTCGATTCCATAATGACCTCATAAATTGATTGATTTTGTGAGTTTATAATGATTCAACGGTTATTCCCGTTGTTAATTTTGGGTATCATTTTATTTAATGTTCTCTAAGCTTTGAACTTTTACATAAATCTCAATTTTTTGAACTTCTATTAGTTTCAATTGAGATTATAATTAAACATTTATTAAAATTTGACTTTTAGTCATTGCAAAATTAGGCTTTTAAAAAGTTATCCGTCTACAGTACACAAAAAAGAGATGTAAATGAATATCAATGAATAATTGTATCAATCAGAGCGTAAAATGACTAACTTACCATTCTTTGTATTAAATTTTTTCTCCAGCAATTACGAAAAACTGTTCGACAATGACGTAAATCAAATGAATTATTCCAAGATGTGTTTCTAGTTGATTGTGATCTTATCGACGGGTTATTATGATTTGGGAAACACTGTTTTCGTCTTAATAATGATGGTGATCTTTTGTAGATTGGATTTAATGGTATGATAGATAGACGAACAGACCTAGCGCATAAACTATGCGGTCTTATTGATTGGGATGTTTTATTTAAATGTTTACCTTCTAATTGAATAGAAGGTGGCTTTATTGACAAAGGGAATAAGTATTTAGTATTCAATCCATTCCATGTGTTTCCAGCCAATGTTGATGATAAGTGCGATTGTGATACTAACTGATTATTGTGATTTTTGTGTAGGTGCCTTATTGATTTACAGTGTTTTCCCCTAATACCAAAACAGTCTATGCTTATACGGCAATCTTCCCAATCTGCACCATCATGTTGGCATGCAGAGGCAGAGGAGAATGTATGACATGTCTGATTAACCAATTGTGGTGTAGTGTTACCGGTATGGGCAATTATTGATTTTTGTGGGGTAAAATAATTTCTGGTTGGTAATATTGGTGGCAGGGAAGAAGAGCGTAATTTTCCACCTAACATTCTGGTCGAGGAATTTTCTTTGAATACTGAATTTGAATTATTTATGTTATAATGTATATTTGATGGAGGCTTGTGAAAATTTTGTTGAACAGTGTTGTTGTTTGTACTATTGATACTATAATTGCTGTTACAGTGATTACTCGTATTGTGATTAGTAGTATTATTGATAGTAAAAGTAACGTTACAGCATTGTTTTACACTTTTGCATGAATCATTATTGAAACGTAGTGTTGTTGGTATTGCAATGTGCTGATCAGATACATGACGATTAAGCAAGTGTGATCCATGCAAATTTTGATAACTTTTCCATGGTCGTTGGAAATTTCGCAAATCCGGAGTGAAGGTGTATGATATAGGTTGCTGATAGGTATAGCTATTATTATTTATGTGTAAGTAGGTTCGCGTTACCATATTACATAAGTTATCAGTTGAAGATGAAATCTGATTAGTTACAACTTAGGTAAATTGTAAGCGATATTTTTTCAGCTAAATTTTGTTGCCTAAAAAATAAGAGAAGTATGGAGGATAATAATATCACTGTTAACAATAGTAATGATAATAATGATAACTGACTGATTACTTACTTGTGAACAATGCAATTAGGCACTTCTTTAAGTAAGACGACGTCGCGTGCACTGTGTAAGATGGTGGTTGAAGGTAGATGATGGGAAGCTCTGGACTTGGAGTTTTTTCTGTTTGATACTTTTCTGCAATATGACTTTGTAATCTTAAGGGAGCAGTTCCTCCTCAGTGCAATAGGTCTTATGTCATCCAGCCTCATATCTCAGTCTTGTAAAAGGTTGGTCACAGCCCGGATAACTCAATGATAATGTCTTTGACCATGAAGGTAGGTGACAAAGAAACGAATTCATTGATTCCCTCAAGATAACAAAAATACCTTATTGACGGCCAACATATGTCACGAAAACTAGGATCAATAATTCCTGTCGATTACCTCCAACAACCACCGTACATATTAAATCATATTAACTTGGTATCAATCAGTCGGTACGTATGTAACATCACAGACTAACTTTAGTTATACAACCACTGAAAATTTAGAAACACTGGACAGCTGATTCATCCTTCTATGGGACTCCTTATCAGTGAACATCTACGATGTCAATAGGGTGCATACAAATGAGAACCACATCCTCGCTTACATTCTCTCCAGATCGAATTGCTAGGTATCATTATCAAATTAAAAGTAATTCATAGATTATATCACACATTAAATTCAGCTAAACAAACGTTAAAAATCATTTGTGTACGAGAATAGGACGGAACATCTAAGCAGTTTGCCCACTAGCACTTTCAGTAGCTGTTTAGTTTGTAGCCATTTATGAACTTCGTACTAATTCGATATTTGACCATAATTCAAGCTGATGTGATTGGTTAAGAATAAAACTGTGATTTTCATAGCAATTTCGCTATACTTGTCATCTAAATAAAGTTGGAATTCAGTGTTATTTTCACAGTTAGATCCAATCAATTTGAGATAGAATGTAGGAAATGTTGAATATATTCACTAGTGCATGTCTTTTCGTAGCTTATTTTATTTGAATGAAGAAAGATACTTTTAAGTGAAAATATTAGGTAAACTTTTTAAACATGAATAAGCTTAATAACGAGTTATAACATGATGGCGAGTCACTACTTTTAGTTGATCAAATTTTGTGAAGACTTTTTTAATGTTCCACTACTTATATCTCATTGGATGACTGATTGATAGATGTGAAGTGTCTAAATCTTACTTAATCATAAAGAGTTTAGTATGCCATCTCTACTTTAATCTTATGTAAAATTAACTGATTTGTTCAAAGCGTTCACATATTTCATAATCCTTATTATTTGCAAATGATTTTCCAGTGTATTTCGGTTTACCAAGTAAACTGTACACAATTTGAAGTTGTTTAGTTATTGATTTGGCTGCCATAATCAAATATACAAACATATCCACACAAATTCTTCATTGATTTATGTTTTCAAGGTTGTTTCATTTAACTTTGATAAAATCAGTTTGAGAGGCAATTAGGAGAATTATTGTACACTTTAAATAATATTTGTTGAATTCTTTAGATTATTAGACAAGAATTGGGATTTCAACTGTTTACATTGTTTTGCTTTGAGAGTTTTACAAATTTATCAAACATACATACACAGAAATAATATTTAGTATGAAGTTTAATATATATATACTACTTACTAGTAGAGACAGACTCGATGAATTATGTGTTTATGAGGTGAAATGTTTTTTTCCAGTAATTTCACATCGTTTATCGGCTTCATTTAGATAACCATTAAAAGTAAGGAAGCATGCACCAACTATTTTTTGCTGATACCTGAATCTTCGGCTATAGGGATCAACGTTTCTATGAGAGAGTGAGATCCGGAAATTCATGCCTAGCAATGGGCATCCAATCTTCAAACTAATAAGTTTGCAACTGGCGATTCATGCGTGTAATCCGACTGAATTCATGATAATTGCTCAACTGTCATCTATCGTCGTTCGTTACATTTATCTTATTCTCGACATGGTTGAACTGATTGGCGATTCTTACTTCGACAGTTACCTCTCAGAGTTAATCACTAATAGGTGCATGATTGTTAGGGTTTTGTGTCATCATATTAATCTCTTTGATGATAATTAATAGATGATTTTACTTTGTTATTTATTTTCAGTTTACAACATAATTATAAGCTAATGTAACTCCTAGTGAATACAATTCACATTGTATATTACTAAAAGGTGTACGATTGCACTGTGTCATAATACCGTATTATTCATTCGTGTACGTACATTTACTTGCTTTCAATAATGATGTACTAAATTCAATTTAATAATTATGATCTAGTCAGTGGATATCTGTAAGTGTAAAGATATTTTTCTTTATGAGCTAACTTGTTAAACACAGAATTCTGGATAGGTATTTCTTCGTGAACATTAGTTCGCAATTAAATGAAAATCGGTTTTTCTATAAAAATGTTAAATGTAAATGAGAGTGATAAAGTACTTTTTCAATTCATTGTACCTCTGTCTTTTACAATCTAACAAATTTATTATAATCTATATTAATAATCTAGTTCTGCGAATGTTAGTATCATTGCTTTTCTGGAGGTCATTAAGGATGGAAACAGTTAAGTGATTACTTTTCTAATCGGGTTACCAGATGAAGTAATTTTAACTGCTGCCAACAAATATCTCCCCACAACATTGTAGATATTTTTGTCTTATGGGTAGTTAATGGGGTGGGAAATAAATAAGCTCTAACACTGATTCGGCTTTCACTATGTAAATGTACGTCTCTAAACTTCTATAACTGGTTTACGGGTCCCTTAATATATACTTCAATAGAACACACAAATGGATAATTCTTAAATTTTATACAGGTTATGATATACTGTAAACTCGATTCATTATTACTCGTAGAGGTTTTTTCAGTTTGCTATTTCATATAATTTAACCAACAATTAGCACACTTCAGTTCTTATTGAATGCTTTCATAATTACTTTGATATGAAGCATCTCTTGTCGAAGAATAAGTGTACACACAAAAAATCCGGTTTTAACTAGTAAATATTCATCATTCAATCTAACTAGTTCATATAAAGGGACTCGTCTATGAAAACTTTACATTCATAATGCGAGAAAACAAAAGAACTACGATGCGATGGATGGTGGATAGCAGTGGATTCCAGAAAGCATGTTTCGTCCTATGTATGACTCATCAGCTGAATTTCCCTTAAAATTGTATTCTATTTAAAATGGAACTCTTTAATATTTAGTTTTGTGTTTCGTTTAGTGTTCAGTGCTTGTATTATACAGTAACTAAGTGAGAAAAAAGCAAGAAAAACATCTTTTATCATACATAATGTACGAGAGGAAGTTAATTTTGTGAAACTTTTGAGCTAGTGATTAATTTATAAGTAGTATATATATGCTAACAAATTATTTTTCCAGTTTTTGAATACATTTTGTCAAAAAGTACCAGAATGTATAAAATATATATTCAGTTTATTACACAGACTACCTCTAACTATAAAATGACTGGCATAAATATATCTCATTAGGTGCAATGACTTGACTTATGTAAGGTTGATCAACTAGACCTGAATAACTGTAATCAATATTCTAACATTCAATGCCTAGTAAATATTTGCTTTTTCTGTCCATTAATTGTCTGATTTTGATATACCGGTATATTCTTTTCTATATGTAAAACGATAGATGATGTTAGGATGAGTTATAGTTCCTAGTGTTTTCATATTAAGAAATGAGTAACAGATTAGTCATAGGTTTCACAATTCACCATTCAATTTTAAATATACTGAACCGTAGTTTTAAAAAAAACGGTTGCCAATAAAAATGATAATAAGTTTAAATATTTTCCTGCAAATATCAATAGAATTTAACAAAAAAGAAGTTCAGTTGTGGAAATTAACGTTTGATGAGCAAGTTATAACTTAGAATTAACCCATATTAGTTCAAATATCAATTATTACCAGCTTGATGCAAGAGATTAAACTAAAGAATACTGCTGAAGTTAAGTTTAAATAAATAAGGATTGATCATAATAATTTCAAATTTCATTCTGGAATTCAATATATATATATATATATATATATATATATATATATATATATATATATATATATATATATATATATATATATATATATATATATATGTAACTTCAAATATTCAGTACAGGGGAATAAAGACTTAATTATCTCTTGTCTCCTGAATGAACTCACAAACAGATAAGAATGCCACTGACTGAGCCAACATTTGCAACCCGGTAACCTTCAGATCTGCTCAGGTTCTGACCAGTCACAAAACGGTAAGTAAGAAAGAGTAAATCATAATATAAATTTTAGGAATGTTTGAAGGTAAGAATTCGGAGTTAGTTTATATAAACGGTTACAACTAATCTCTACTCATCCACTTACTATTCACCATAATCCACACTCTGACTTCAATTATAACACTAACAAAACTTAGCCATACTCCTAAACATAATTCCAATACTAACACTAATCCTTACTCAATTCTAATCACTATTCGAAAGGAAAATTTTTAATCGACTTCTGAACACAAATGTAATCGCTAACTATGATCTTCACTTCTAATCCGAACTTAAATCTAATGAGTGAAATATCTGTGCATTTTGTATTTCTGTACACTCATTGAACACCATGTGAATGTTAACCTCAATAATTTATTGTCATTTCAATACTTGATACTTTATTAGGATTGATCATTGTATGACCAACGGTTAACACTGTAGTTTAACTTGATTTGATAAAGGACATCGAAGGTTACCATATTTAGCATGACTTTGAAGTCGTTTACTTGATTCTGATTGGTCCAACAGTATGTTGTAACTTAACACCAGTTATATGTTATGATTATCATAGTCTAAACTGTTCAATCGATGCATTAAAAGACTAAACTATAATATTTCCATCCAATCTTTATTGTATAGGGGAGATGAATTGT